ATCAGCAGACACCTCATGCTTAAACTTGATGAGTGCTACCCATGTTACTCTTGTGAACTCGTCCATAAATGACACAAAGTACTTGTTTCCTTCAAGTGAAGGTACTTCAATGGTCCATATACATTATAATGTACTACTCCTAAAGCATGTTTTTCTCTTGGGGATACTTTTGATGCAAATGGTAATATAGGTTGCTTTTCTTTCATGCATATCTCACATGACCTCTCAGACTTCACAATCTTAGGAATTCCATGTATTGGCTTCTTAGAACTCAAATTCCCTAAGCTTTTAAAGTTCAGATGCCCCAATCTCTGGTGCCACAACTCACTGTCACTTTCAGTACCTTCTGCATTAAGGCATTTAGTTTCAGTTGTTTCCACATTCATCTTGAATGTTTTGTTGCTTCCCTGTTCTGACTGCATAATTAGCTTCTGATTGGAATCTTACAACTTCAAGAGATTTTCCTTCATATTAACTGAGGAACCTTTCTCAATTAGCTGGCCTACACTTATCAGATTGCTCTTCATACCAGGAACATATCAAATATCCTTGATCAGAACAGTCTTGTCATTCTTCACTCTGACCTTGAAATTTCTCATTTTTTCAACATTCAAATACTTATCATCAACACATCTAATCTTTGTCCTTTTTCCAGATCCAAAACTAATCAGCCATTGTTTGTTTTCAGTTAGGTGATTTAAGCAGTCGGTGTCCATGTACCACCAGTCTACTAAATATCCATCATTAGATTTAGAAGTCATCAATAGCACAGGCTTATCATCAGACTCTCCTCTGGCTATGTTTACTTCTTCTGATTTCCTTTTCTTGTTTGACCAACAATCAGCAGCAAAGTAACCAAACTTCTTACAACAACAGCATTGAACCCTCTTCTTTTTAAACTTCTCTTTTCCCTTATGATGTTTCTTCTCATCTGAGTTTGAGGCTTCTGAATTTTGATAACCACCACCATGTCTCTTTTTGGCCTCTGACCAAGACTACTTCTGATTCTTCTTACCAGAAGATGCTTTTAGAGTCTGCTTCACCTCTCTTTCAGAGGTTCTCTCAGTCAGGCGCTACTCTTGTGCCTCTAGACTATTATGCAGCTCTTCAATTCTCATGGTGCTCGGGTCCTTAGAGTGTTCAATTTCTACAACAATGTAATTAAATTGAGGAGTAAGTAATCTAAGTACCTTTTCAATGATTACTTATTCAGAGAGAGTCTCTCCAAAAGATTTCATCTCATTTGTGATCAGAATCACTCTGGAGATGTAATCAGGTACCTTCTCAATGTTTTTCATGTTGAGATTCTCATACTGCTTACGTAGAAACTGAAGTTTCACCTCCTTCACTAATGCATCACCGTCGTAGCATCGTACCAGTGTGTCCCACACAGCTTTCCTCGTTATTGAATCAGTGATCTTTTTAAACACATTTGCATCCACACACTAATGGATATAGAGTAATGCCTTCTAATTCTTCGTCCTCATTTATCTATGGATGTTCTTTGTGCTTTAGTTGCAACCTGTGCATAACCGTCATTGACGAGATCAAGAACATCTTGAGCGTCAAACAATACACGCATCTGAATCATCTGTCGATTTCAATTCTTTCCATCAAAGACTGGAAACTTTATGTTCAAGCTACTATTTACATCGTTCATCTTCGATCTTGTGCAAATTCACTCAAATCTCATTAGCACTCGTGTTTCCCAATCCCTCATAATTAAAAAATGTGATTCTGTTTCAATTTCGAACTTCAATTCACTGTTTCAATTTCGAACTTCAATTCACTGTGAATTTCAGAACCGAAATCAATCACACGCGTCTCACGTACACTCGTGTTTTCAATGTGAATCAGAACTGGGGCTCTAGATACCAATTGTTGTTTTCCAAGGATGAAGATGAAAAAGATGAGAGAGAGAGAGAGAGAGAGAGAGAGAGAGAGAGAGAGTTGTAACTAACTTTAAAACATAAATTGATTACATTACTTAATTCTATTACAACTGAACAAGACAGGGTTTATATACTAACAGAGTATCTTAAATGAAATTCAAATTCAAACTCTAAATACAAATTACACTTAAATGAAATGCAACTAACTACTTTAATTTAGATTACACATTAACATGTCTAACCGGTTAACGTAATCATGTAATTGGATACTATTGAAAAAGATTTAATTTTTATAGCAACTGGAACCAGTTACAGGTTTTATGTAACCGGTTATAGGCACGAGTTTTTCAGTTTTATGTTATTTGGTTTATGTTATTTAAGTTTCAATCACTATGTAATACTTATATAAATACCTTGGAGGCATCCTAATCAATAGCTAATGAAATTAATATCTCACCCTCAAACTATCTCTTTCTCTCAATTTTTTCTCTTTTCCTTTCCACACTTTAATTTCTCTATTATTCACTAATTTTGTAGTTTCAAGTTCTAATATTCAATTCTATGAAGACCCTGATTTGAATAAATAATGTATAATATGTTAAAATTAGAATTACATTAATTTAAGATTATGATAGTTTGTTTGTCAACAACTTGATTTCTTCCATATTAATTGTGATTAAACTTTAATGATACTATATGTTAACAATTTATTTTGGATTATTTCACTAAATTCCTAAGCAACCAAACAAAACCAAGTATATTAAATGGACCCCTTTCAAAAAGAAAATAGTAAAAACAAAGTAACTTGAATTTGACGTTATCACCAAGGAAGCATAGTCCGGATCTTGACAAAATACAAAGTTCTTCTTTATAGATCACAATCACAATCTTCACATGAAAAACCAATCACAATCTTAACAATATCATCATTCACAAATCACAAAAAGAGGTAACTAAATATTCATTTCTTGTTTTCTTCGCTATCTTGATGTTCATAAATTTTGATAAAATTTAGGATCATGGAAGATGAAACTAGAACAGATGATAAACAAAAGAGAGCAAAATCCAACAATGAAGAAGATGTCATAAACCAATTACCAGAAGGAATCCCTATAAACATTTTATCAAAACTACCAATCCAAGAAGCTGTTAGAACAAGCATCCTCTCAAGAAAATGGAGAAATCTATGGACTTATTTTACAGGAACATTAGAATTTTCCGGTTCGCCGATTATGAAAGACATGAAGAAAGATATGAAGAAAATTACAGGAAGAAGTTTACAGATGGCAATGGAAATCATGTATGATGCTGAAAGACAAACATATACAAATTGGATCAATGAATTGTTAGCTTCCCTTAAAAGTTCGTCTCTACAAGGATTGAAGCTTTGGTTTCCTGTGAAAAATGTTTCTGATATTGATAACTGGATTCAGTTTGCAGTTCGTAAAAAGGTTCGAAAGCTTGAACTGTATTTCGGTCGTGCAACTGATTATGTTCTTCCGTTGGAACTATTTAAGGTGGAAAGATTTGATTCTTTGTGTGTTTTGCGTATGAAATCGATTACTGTGACCGAAGAGACACTGGAGTATTTTCTGTGTAATTGTCTGTTACTTGAAACATTGAGTTTGGTTGATTCAGAAGTTCCGAAAACTATGAAGGTTTTAGGTTCAGGTTCATCATTGAAGTTGAAATGTTTAGAGTTGGTAAGATGTTTGGAATTGACAAAAGTTGAAATATTTGCTGAGAAATTAGTGTCATTCAAATACTATGGGACTAATTTGGAGACAGAATTCAAGAGTGTTTCAAGCCTTGTGGAAGCATCTTTTGGAGGATCCTTTGTGGAGTTTGTTAGAGAAAGCTTTATGTTGCAAATAAAAGTGCTTAAATTGGATATTACACAAAACTCACCTCAAGTGGTAAATTTCCTGCATGCCCTTCTTTTCTCATGCTTGTTTGCGTATTATCAAGAGTGATATTCAGACACTTATGGAAAAAAACGTGTCAGTGTCCGTGTTTGTATCAATGCGATACCAACACTTGTAATTACATTCAATTTATTTATTTTTTCAAATTATTATCGGTGTCAGTGTCCAGTGTCCGTGTTTGTATCAATGCGATACCAACACTTGTAATTACATTCAATTTATTTATTTTTTCAAATTATTATCGGTGTCGATGTGTCAGTGTTGTGCCTGAGATATTTTTTTATTTTCCAATTTTCAGATTTATTGGTTAAGTCAACTTCCCAAGTTGAATAATCTCAAGGATTTGGAGTTGGTGGCTTGTGGTGATGATGGCATAATACTTAGTGCTTGTGTTGTTTTATTGAATGCATCACCTTCACTATGTAGGTTCACAATCAAGGTGAATTTATCCTTGAGCTTCTAGCTTTTTTTTTCTGTCAAGCATTCAATAATTTCTCTGAAAAGTTCTAGCATCATACTCTGTGCTTGCATCAAGCATTACTTATGCCCAAAAGCTAGGATAGTTGTGAATTTGAAACTGATTTCTATACATGTTGCAGATGCTAAATACAGAACCTACTTTTAGAACAGAACACAAATTTCCAAAGGAATGTCAATACAGTATTAAGGAGTTGGAATTGGTTGGATTTTGTGGTGCATCATGTCAAGTTGAATTAGTTATGCACATTCTTGAGAATGCAGTTGAACTCATGAAAATAACTATTGATACAAGATTACCAACTAAACCAAAAGTGAGGCACATGGAGGAGGAGCACTTCAGAACTTGGAATTGCGAAGAAAACAGAATGCGTGCTTGGCGACTGAAGGACAAAATACCACCTTCGATTAAATTTGTTTGTCTTTGACGATATTGTAGAATTGTAAATTTCACGGAGTTAGGAGATTTGGAACAGTATATAATGCTAAACAATATTTATTGAATGTTACAACATTTAATTAAGTGAAAACATTTCAACATTACGTGATCGATCCACAAACAATTGAAACTGCTCTATCATTACAATCCAATTTCTAAATAACCAAAACTGAAATAACAGAGAAAATACAACTGTCTTCTAGCGAATCAAAGCATGTCGTCTTATTGCAATCAAATACATGTTTTGAAATGAGATCAACACTTAAACTAAATGCCCTGCTCAAGCATTGCTCTGACTCTCATTGGAAGCCCGTAAAGCCGGATAAAACCAGCAGCATCAGCTTGATCATAGATGTCACTACCCTCGAATGATGAGATATCTTGCCTATAAAGGCTGAAGGGACTCTTCCTACCTGTTACAGTAACAGACCCTTTGTACAATTTCAAAGTCACAGAACCTGTTGTGGTCTCTGTAATCTTCTGCATAAAGGCGTCCATGGACTCACGGAGTGGATCAAACCATCTTCCAGCATACACCAACTCTGCATATTTAAGGGCTAACGTATCTTTGAGCTGTATTGTTTCTCGGTCAAGTGTCAAAAACTCCAACTCCCGTGCTGCAGCAAAAAGGATAGTTCCGCCAGGAGTTTCATAAACTCCGCGGCTCTTCATGCCTACAAGCCGATTCTCAACCATGTCGATACGACCAATTCCGTGCCTTCCACCTATCTCATTGAGCTCAGTGAGTAAAGTTGCTGGTGAAAGCGTCTTCCCATTGAGTGAAACAGGAAGTCCCGACTCTATGCCAATTTCCAAATACCTGCAAGACAATGCATGATTTCGAAAATGTAAGGTTCAACTTCCAAAAATAATTGCAGGTGCATTCTTTCTAGAAGGCATAACATAACAGAAACTTGAAGCTTTATATAGATTGAATTAGTAAAACTACAAGAAAGCTTACTCGGGTTGATCTGGAGCATCCTCTGGGTCTACAGAAATCATGTACATATCCTTTTGGGGCTCATTAGCCGTGTCTTCCAAAATATCACCCTTCAAGACACATATCGCATACGTTAGAGAAACAGTAACATGTTACTCCCGAAATATAGTTTTGGGATCTGACAATGCAGCATAGAAATGATGCAATGAATTCCCTTTAATGATTCATATGCTCTCTAGAGACCGGTAAAAAATGATAGGTTTTCTTGAAATACTTCTAAAAATATGGTTCACCACAATGCATAACTAGAGCTAGATTGAGGATAAACACAATGCATACCTCATGGCTAAGATGCCATAGATTCCTATCCCTGCTATATATGGATTTCTTGGTCACTGGAACAGGAACGTTATGTTTTTTAGCATACTCAATAGCATCTTCTCTCCCTGTAATATCCCACTCCCTCCATGGAGCCACAATGTTTAGCTTGGGGTTCAGCGCAAAGAAAGTGAGCTCAAATCGTACCTAAATGTTTATTAAAAAATGTGAGATTATTATAATTTGCATGACATGGTACTGTAGTTATAATAGTAAGACATGCCTGATCATTTCCTTTCCCTGTACACCCGTGGGCGACAGCATCAGCTCCAACTTCTTTGGCAACATCCACCATGGCCTATCAGTCAACACACATCAATCAATAAGCAATGACACGTACACAAACACAACAAAAACAATTATTTGAAGAATGCAAAGTCCGACACTGATTCGTGTCAAACACCAAACACGCCTTTAATATGAAGTGCGGGTGCAACATATTTAATATAACTTCAAGCAAAAGTACCTTTGCAATCACAGGACGGGCCATTGAGGTCCCAAGCAAATACTTTCTCTCATAAATGGCACCGGCACGCAGGCAAGGAAATACATAATCTTTAACAAATTCCTCTTGCAAGTCCTTTACAACTAATTGAGAAGCTCCGCTGGCTTTGGCTTTGGCTTCTAAACCGTCCAACTCTTTTATACCCTGTGAAAATAATTTTGTTAACCGACAAACTCTCCTAGTCAGATGTTTACTATCTTAAAACACCTCATCCAATAAACAACTTTGACAACAATAATCTTGATTACAAAACATGAATCAGCGTACTTGGCCAACATCAGCAGTGAAGCAAACAACATCACAACCATAATTCTCCCTGCAACATCAAGATCACTAAATAAGAAATATAACAAGAAATCACTAAATAAGAAATATAACAAGAACAAAATTATACACCAATAGATAACGTAAAAATGGTTTCTGATCTTCATTTACCCATTCTGCTCAAATACTAAACCGCGTCTCTAAATTACTTGGTTCTTGTCATTCAGAATATGCAAGGGAGAGAATCTTGAATTTGTGACAGAAACCTAGTAGTAAAAGAACAAGGAAACATCCATACCTCAACCATGGGACAATAACCGATGTGTCTAAGCCACCACTGTAAGCCAGTACAACCTTGTTCAATTTTCCACGCAGCCCGCTACCCTTCTTGGCTTGAGAAACTTCCACAGCAGAATCATTGCTCGATACTGCTTTTACAACTGCACATTACAAAAACCTCAATAGCATTACAAACATTAAACTTAAATACCAAACAGCATCTAATCAACATAATGAACACGCAAACACACAGTGCCTCAACAGAATTCATTCACTTTCAAAGTAAACCATGCATGACCTAAGAAGCCCCAAATTACGGCTCCAGAAAATCAATTGTTTAATGCTGATAATAAGACATAATTTTGTTAAGAAAATTATCATTTTCAAAATCCAAGTGAAAACAAACCGAGTCAATTAATTCCAACCGATAAATACTACAAATCAGAGACACACAGCAAAGTAAATATCTACGTGCAAATGACTAATTCCACCTTCTCAGAAAACCAGACCCGCCACCACAATTTGAAATCATAGATTCACCATTGTTTATAAATCAAGCATATAAAGACAATGTCAACCACATAACAATTTCCTATAGATCTTGATACAAAATAATCTCACCTTGAAGTCTTCCGGCACCAACATTAGCTTTTGGCTTCAACTACACATATTAAAAAAGTCCAAAATAAGATCAACACAGAAAAAACAAGAAGGGTCTCTAAATATGAAATAAAAAAAATTTAATAAAAAAAAAACATATGTTTGTAAATTCAAAGGATTAAAGTTTGAAGTTTTAAAGATCACCTGTTTATATGAACATGGGTTTGCCTTCCAGAACCTATTAAACAGAATGTGCTCTGCAAATAATATTTGCAAATCAAGGAAATTTTATCAATAAAGGATCGTCATAAATTGTTAACAGGGTTTAAAAGATGGGGTTTTGAAACTGTTATCATGATTGAGAGACATAATGACTAACATAGCATTAATGAAAGAGAATGAAACTGAGAGAAGGAGAACCTGTTGCATGTAGGGAAGGAGTGGCAGTAGCGCATGGATGTGAAGGAAATGCTTTCAACTGAGCCATTGTTGTTGAAGTGAACAGGAACAACTCTTGAACTAAATAATGCTGCTGCTTTGGTCGAATATAACAAGGGTTTCAAAAGTTGAAACTTTGACGAAATGACCAAATTGGTCACGAAATAAAGGGTTCTTTTTTCTTTTATGGTTACAAATTAAAGAGATTCCAATAAAAATTACTTTTTAATTAATAAATTAATAGTTTCTTTTAAGAAACTAAAATGGTATTGAGATCTCGGCATTAAATTAAATTATAGTTAAATCAATAACTCATGAAAAAATAAAAATAAATTCTATAAACAAAATCGAGAAATTAGAAAATTCTAATCAAAGAGTGAAAAACGCACATCATCGTCATCGTCTTTTGTCTTCTCTTCCTTCTCAATCTTTTCTTCTTTCTTACCGTAGGATTAGCAGTGTTATAATATTTTCATATACAAGTTATTATGCATTAGTTTATTAATTAATTTTAAAAAAAATTTATTTCTTTTAAAATTTGAATTAGTCAATGTCTGTTTATGTGTGCTTGCAGCACGTTTAGGAGCGGGTTAGTGGTCAGTTAGAATCAGCATAAAATCGTGGGATGTTTATTTACCATGTGACAATTTATTATGTTTTAAAATTCAATGAAAGTTGACGGTTTGTTCAAGATATTTCATATTGTGGTATTAAAAACAAGGAACAAACTAAAATTTTTATAAAAAAAAAGTGATTGAGAGGATTTTCATCATATGATTGAGAATAGTCATTTTGCACATGTATGCATACTTAAGTTCGATGGTGATTACTATCATTATAGTTTGTTGATGGAGAACTTGCTCATATCTAAAGAATTTTGGAGAGTTGTCACTAATGGGTTCACTAAGCTGGTGCAGAGAGATACATTTACTGTTGTTCAAACAAAGGCATTGGAGGATCTAAGGTTGAAGGACTTCAAAGCAAAGAGTTCAATCAAAAAGACTATTTTGAAGACTATCACCAAGAAGAGTACTGCCAAGGAATTGCGGGATTTCATGAAGAACAAATATCAAGACGTTCAAGAGTCAAGAGAGCACGGAAGTAGACTCTTAGAAGAGATTTTGAAGTGTTGAAAATGAAAGATAGTGAGTCAGTGAATGACTATTTTGGAAGAGTCATGTGGTAATGCTATGAGGAATTGTGGTGAAATAATGGATGATGTGAAGGTGGTTAAGAAGATTCTTCGTACCCTAACAGAGAGATTCAAGTATATTATCTACTCTATAGAAGAACCAAAAGATATTGACACATTCGGGATTGATGCGCTTCAAAGTTCATTTTTGGTACATGAACAGAAATTCAACAGGAAGGGTGATGAAGATGATCAGGCCTTAATTATAAAATTATTATATTAAAATGAAAGGTTTGTGTTAGGTCGTCGACAAATAACATAAATTTTTTGAAATCTATATGATATGGATCAAATATGTTACATTACAATGTGATTATAGGTATTTGTCCTAAAAGCAATGTGTTGTTTGACTTGAGTGTTGTGTCAAATGAGCATGAGTCGTTGCTTCGTCACGTGAATGCAGTTAAAAATAAGAAGGCATGTTTATGTTTTTATGAATGAGTAAAGGCGAAAAAGTTAATTTGTGAGAGTATGATTTATTTTGGAACAATATATATTTTTTATAAAAGCAAAAGGATACAAAGTTAATACCTAAGGCATCCAAACTAGGTTGATACTCCAAAACACCACCTAAGAAGCACCCTAATACAACATATTAATGAAATTGAAATAAAAAAAGATACAAAAAAAACCTTGGGGGCTATAACAGAACCCAAGGTACACTTACAAGAAAATCAATGGAAATAGTGTGCATTGTGGTTAGGAGGAAAATCAATTTTACGTGCCTACAAAATGTTAAGTGTAAAAGGTTAAAAGGGGGAAAAAATAGACAATTCGTGATTTAGACTTTGTCACACCAATAAAGCAAAGTTAGATTGAGAAATAAGATGAGAATTATTATAGATAATGATTGGAAAAAGGATAGTGTTGATGTAAAAAGGGTGAAAGATCGGTTCATAACCCTTGGATTAGCCGAACACCTTAAAGGTAAGTATTAAGGAAAAATTATAAGGCTTATTTTAGGATATATGTTATGGAGAAAATATTTTTCTATGAAGGGATCTTAATTGATATGTATGGAGTGTATCAAAAAGTTTTGAGGGAATGCATGGATGTATGGTCTCAAGGAGATAAATACAGAGAGTAAATTCATCTTAGATTGTTTGTCTGTTATTTTTTTATCTTACTATAGCAAATACATACTTTAGGAAATCATGTTATCATCTTTAAGATTGTGGTTGCATGTTCTCAAATAGATTTCTTTCGCATTAGAAAATCATCTAGTAATATTTGCTCGGACTATAAAGTTATATTGGGAGATAGCATAACTATCCAACATAGATTAATGTTTATGGATGTAAGAGTCAAGAGATGAGGAGAGAGAATCACTACTACAAAATATACTTATCGTAATATGTTATGACCTCGGTTAATCAATCAATCGAAGTAATAGCTCTTATTTAGACGCCTATGTTTTTTTACGGACATAACACTACGGTCAATAATATCAATTGTGGTGATATATTAAGGTGTACAGGTTTCAAATCCCAGCTCCAACATTTTTCCTTTTTTTCTATACAACAGATGATGTGTCCATTAATTTATATATTTATATAATAATTAAAAGTAATTTCCCAACGAGTATATTTCTCAACTATGGTTATATGTCACCTAAAGTTAATATGTTTCATTACAGTTAATTTTTCAACGATGGTGAAATGTTTTTCATTAAAATTAAAGCGTATCAGATTTAGTTTATTTTTTTAAGAACATAAGTGCTCTGACAAAGAACAGACGAAAGAGGTAGCAAAACAGACTTCCAAACTTCATCTTCTTACCTCTCATTCATTTCTTGGAACATCCAAACTTCTAGTTCTTACAAGATGAAAGCGAGCGCACATGAATGGTATTTCTTGGTCACAACTGTTGGGTGCAAATGTGAATGGTTAAAGTCTCATGTTTCCTTTGAATGGGTAGAATGTTGAATTTATAAGAGAGAGGACACATTTACCAAACACCTTAAGATTTTGGGTTGAGATGTGGCATCTCATTCTCTTGTGGTCCTGGAGCATTAGTCACATTGGTGCTCTCGACTTTCCAGGACTTTTCGACAGTGGTATCAGAGTCGTGGTTCGACTTAGGGGGGATTGAGAGTTGGATCCGATGTTAGATCCTGATATAGGATGTAGGGGACTCACGCTTATGTGTGAGAATGTTGGATGCAAGTGTGAGTGGTTAAAGTCTCACATTGCCTATGAATGAGTGAAATGTTGGATTTATAAGAGAAAAGACTCGTTTACCTAACACCTTAAGATTTTGAGTTGAGATGTGGCGCCTCACTCCCTTGTGGTCCTAGAGCATTAGTCTCGTTGGTGCTCCCGACTCTCCCAGACTCTCCAACAACAACCTCTTATTCAATTTACAGTACATTCTCGATTTCATCACCTTTATCACCATTCATGTTGATTTTTAGGTTTTGGTGTTGTTAAAGTTATATTGTTATGAATAAAATTTGATAACAAAACCATATTTCTATTTAATGTTGTATAAACATCTAGTATGTTGTGTGAATGTAGATTGGATATATCATATATGTGAGAGTGTTGTTATGTGTGTGTGTGTGTGTGCGCGCATGCGCGTGCGCGGGCGCGCGTGTGTGTGTGCAGCAAATAACCATATTAGTATGTTGTGTGTAACATTAATGTGTCATTCATATATGTGTTGTTATAATTAAGTGATATTGAGATTGTTTTTATGTCATTGGAAATGTTATATATTGTTCTAATTGAGTGATATGAAGATGAAGATTATTTTATAACTTATTGTGTTGTTGTACTGTTAAATAATTCTACAAGCTTTTGATATAAATTTCAAAATTTATTATGAATTGTAGTTGGATGAAAGCTAATAGATTAGGTCTTGTGTATTAGAAAGTAGCTCTTGAATTTCTTGAATATGCGAAACAAGACCTTCCCAACAATAATTGACTCTTTTATTGTCCTTGTGTTGTATGCGAGACAATTAAATGGATGTCATTCTTGTCAAAATTTAATGTAATAACTCGGATTGCATACGACATTACTAATTTTTCCTTTTATACAAAATCAACATTTGACCGTAGTACAATGCAAAATAGTGGGGTTAAGAATTCTATATTGGCATATATGACGTACTTGATAGAAAATTAAGACATAATAATATACAAATATGCAGCGGATATAAAACTTCCCCAAACTTGTAGGAATCTTGAGGACTAAAAAACAAATATAAGACGGAAAATCAAACAAATAAAGGCACAAAAGAACACTGATGTTTTTTAACGTGGAAAACCCCTCAATATGGGAGTAAAAACCACGAGTCGTCCAAACCAGAGAAATAACTCTACTATAATAAATTAAGGGTATAAGAGAGTCTTAAAGTGATTCACAAACCAGTGCTAACAACCGCAAATCACAAAACAAACTAGCTTACAAATAAGAATCAAAAAGCTGAAAATTTTCCCCAAAATTGCAGCTTCAGTGCAAAGCAAATAACTTTCACCTTAGAAGTTGTATTGAAAACCTGAACGGTCAAAATTTAGATATATGAGTTACGAACCTGCCCAACAAATTTGAGCTCGATCCAACAGTTAACAATCGGAGATCGTCGATTTAGTGAGACTGGCTGCAGAAAAATGGGAATGAGTTTCTCTCCTATTTTCTTTCATTTGAATCCTTATTTTTTCTCTATCTCTCTCAACCTTAAATTGATCTTCTCCACTTAAATAAGTGAGACAAATGGGCTAATCATATCTGGGTTTTTCTCCACATAGGAAGGGAGCTCAAACCCAATAAATCTCCCCCTCACAACTATGTGGAGGAAATCGACAAACCGGCAATATCACAACAAGCTTCAAATTTCCCTCTTGGTAATGCTTT